TATTGAAAAACCAAACCGCGCGACATGAAGGAATAAATGTGAAGTTTTTCCTAACTTTGTAGCCTATGGGGGATAAATACAGATGTTTCCGTACCGATCCCTCAAACTCTACTAAGCTTGTATGTGAACTGTTAGACCCATGTAACCTAGAGCTCTGATACCAACTTGTCACAACCCATATTTTTCGCCCTCGGGAGTCGTGATGGTGCCTACTAATGTGAGCTAGGCAAGCCAACCGTTTGAACAAATACCTTTTTACCCATTTTATATTCTTTAACAATTATGAAACAATAACTTGTAAACAAAGGAATTTACAATAAGTAGAGGAAAAGCAATAAACTATCTGAATATGTATCTAATACAACTGTTTGAGCACCGACTACCCAAAACTGGTATCACAGTTTCACAGACGGTCTAGGAATACTACATACAACATCTGAAAGATAAAAGATACACTGTTTCTGAAATAAGTACATGAAACAGGATAAAGGGATAGAGGGAGACGCCAGCGCCTGCGGACGCCTACAGGACTACCTTGTATCTCCGTGTGGACTGAAGGTAGCCACCCAAGCTACGGTCCAAAGGCTGCTGCTCCGGGATCTGCATACAGTGCAGAGTGTAGTATCAGCACAACCGACCCCATGTGCTGGTAAGTGCCTAGCCTAACCTCGGCGAAGTAGTGACGAGGCTAGGACCAGACTACCAAATAAACCTGTGCAATTTAACTATATACAACGGAAAAAGGAGAACAGTAATATACAGTCAAGTATGACAGGGGTAACATGCTGCGGGGAACTATCAATTTAGAATAGGAAGACAACGGGTAATTAAAAGGAACAACATATCTCAGATATCAAAAAAGAATCAGGAATCAATAAGTGCACGACATCACCCTTCGTGCTTTTACTTTCGTCCTCACCAAAGCAATCAAGTAATGAAAATGTGCACGATATCACCCTTTGTCCTTTTACTCTCGTTCTCACCATATAATCAATATAATCGGCACAAAATTGTACATTGTGCGGCATGACATCACCTTCGTGCTTTACACTATTCCTCACAAATCATACACGGCATTACCCTTCATGCTTAGCACTCTCTCACCAAAAAAATACACGGCTTCACCCTTCGTGCTTTAACACTCTTCCTCACGCAAACAACAATCACAAACAATAGGGCAAGGAAATAAATGAAATTACAATAAGAATCCCGGCAAGGGAACAATAGTTCAACAATCAAGTCCCGGCGAGGGAATAACATCAAAAGAAACATCAACACTCCGGCAAGGGAGATAACATTAAAAGCAACAATATCCCGGCAAGGGAGGCCACATAATAATTCTCTTCTTTTTCTCATTTTTACTTCACAACTCACTTCACAACTTGAGCCAATGCTCTAAAAGGTTTAATTACCACTTATACTTTCACATTTCATTATACAATTTGAGCCAATACTCCTCAATATTCAATTGTCACAATTACTTCCACAAACTTTGCCCAACAATAGAAATCATCACCAAAGCATGAATAATACAACGAAGTCATCATAATCACAATATAAGACTCACAGCCATGCTTGACACCAACGTATAGATACTCGTCACCATGCCTATACGTCATGCTCAACAAATACCGTATAATAAATAGGACTCGACTCTTAATCCCTCAAGCTAAGGTTAGACCAAGCACTTACCTTGATGCCACGAACACAATTCAAGTCTCTACTATCGCTTTACCTCTTGATTCTACCACCACTTCGCTCGTATCTAGCCACAAGTTACTTAATTACATCAATATATGCTAAATGAATCAATTCTAATGTATAAAAATAAGTTTTCTAAAATTTTACCCAAAAAGTCAAAAATCGCCCCCGGGCCCACATGGTCAAAACCCGAGGTTCGAACCAAAACCCGATTACCCATTCTCCCACGAACCCAAACATATAATTTGTTTTGAAATCGGACCTCAAATCGAGGTCCAAATCCCCAATTTTTAAAAAACCTAGGTTCTACCCAAAACATCCAATTTCCCCATGAAAATCATTGATTTTAAGTTGAAATCCTGTGAAAAGATGTTAAAGATTGAAGAAAACAAGTTAGAAACGACTTACAATCGATTTGGAAGAGAAGTTGTCTTTGAAAAATCGCCCAAGAGTGTTTTAGTTTTGAAAGAGTGAAAAATGAAAGATTTTCGGCTAAGTTATAAAATTGCAGGTCGCAGATGTCGCAATTGCGAATTGCGAATCCAGACTTCTGCTAAGCTCGCATTTGCGAAGCGACCTTCGCATTTGCGAAGTCGCTTTTGCGAATAATATGTCGCATTTGCGACGACTGGCCAAAAGGGGAAACATCGCATTTGCGATAAATTCCTCGCATTTGAGAGGTAGGCTAGCCTGGGCTATTTTTGCATTTGCGACATAGCCTTCGCATTTGCGAGCCAGGCTTCGCATGCAGCTGGAACCTGCAATTTTCCAAGTCCAAAAATCCACTTCGTGGCCTATCCAAAACTCACCCCAGCCCTCGGGGCTTCAAACCAAACATGCACACCAACCTAAAAATATCATACAGACTCGCTCGTGAATTCAAATCACTAAGATAACATCAACAACTACGAATTTAGCATCAAAATCATGAAATTTCTTAAGAACTTCAAATTTTCCAATTTTCTCAAATACGGTCCGATTCACGTCATTTCAAGTCCGTTTCTTACCAAATTTCACAGACTCATCTTAAATCACATATAAGACCTGTACTGGGCTTCAGAACCAAAATACGGGTCCGATACCATCAAGTTTTAAACACATTTCATTCTCAAAAACTCATAAATATTCCAGAAAATAATTTTCTTTAAAAATTCATTTCTCAGGCTTGGGACCTCGGAATTCGATTCCGATCATACGCCAAGTCCCATATTTTCCTACGGACCTTCCAGGACCGTCAAATTACGGGTCCGGGTCCGTTTATCCAAAACGTTGACCGAAGTCAACCTAATTCATTTTAAAGTCAAAATTCGTCATTTTCCACAGATTTTCACATATTGGCTTTCCAGCTATGCGTCCGGACTGCGCACGCAAATTGAGGTGAGATAGAAGGAGGTTTTTAAGGTCTCGGAACGTAGAATTTATAAGGAAAATTTCTAGACAACAACAAAATAAAAAGCAACTTTGATGAACTAAATAAAGGTTATGATTAGTATTCGTTAAAAAAAGCTTTAGATCATAATAAAAGTTTATTCTATATTTATTATCTGAGTTAATTCGTATTTTTCTTTAATTTGTTTTGCAATTAGAACGACAGACTGCTTGATATATAGCAAGTCAAACAAATATAAAAGCAAGTTCTCTTCAGAAAAAAATGGATTTAGTGTGAAGTAATTAAGTACCCGAAATATTTCTTAAATCTAATAAGTTATCTCCTCCTTCTTATGCAAATAAAATAAAATAAAAAAGTAAAAGAGACTTGTAGTTTAAAAGCAAATCTCTTCCAACCCAATAAGAATTATCACGAGCTTTGATAGGTGTCTTAGGTCCGACATCTATTTAATTTGTAATTAAGTCATATGCTTCAATTATGTGGCATATAAAGCTTTGGTGCATTTGGGTACATCATCGATGAATTATTAAGTTTAATTTGATATAACGTTTTGTGCTTCAATTTACTTTTTATGAACGAGCGTATTTCCTCTTAAGAAGTAAGGTGAATTATCGTTGAAAATAGCTAATCAAGGTCGCCTTTTGTTTGTGACTATCATATCATAGAGCTCCTAACCTCGCAAACATTGACACATATCGACATTTCGACGTCTGTGACACTTGGCGCTTGTACCAGCTTGGCTTTAGCTTACACAACTTGTTGTTAAGATAAGATTGAAAAATTGTTACTAAGATGATCATCAGATAAACTAAATAGGGTACGATTTAGTTCGCATGGCTACATATTGTTTCTTATGCACTATTTCTATTCTGTTTAGAACCAGATTTTGTTGTGTTTGCACTTAATGTGGAAAGAAAAGAACATAAGCAGTGAGATAATTAACCATTATACTTAGTCCTTGCTTGTGTACAAGTCAAAATAGTTTGAGTAGGAACTTTTTATTTTAGCTTTTCTTATAAACACTGTAAAATTTGAGTACTTTTCTAAGTGGAAAGGAGTGCACTGAAAAAGATTGATGTAATTGAGATTTCTATAATACTATTCAACTACAAACTTAAATCACTCCAATGAAATGTTGAATTATATGCCTTACTTATCGTGTATGATCTATTCTATCCCCTTTTTTCTTTTTCTTTTTTAATATTTCTTTCTACATAATACTTTGCAGTGAAATCAAGAAAAAAACCACATGTAGTAACTGGTCCACAGAGTAAGAGCAACTGCTGCTAAGGCATAATTCCATAGCATGATCACTGAGCATTCACTTTCTCCAACTTCAAACAACTGTGTAATTGTACTTGTTTCATAGATCAACCAGTTAAAATTAGAAGAAAAAGAATTGCATTAATAGCAATTAATCGACATATATATTTAATTGCCTCGTATCAGTTGAAGTGTGTTACCATCTAATTTAATGGTTTAATCTTTTAGATGAGATAGTTATACACTTCAATCTGTGGCGAAGTCAGAAATTTTCGGAAGGGTATTCAAACTTAAAATAAGTATAAAAAAAAATTCCAACAAAGGGTGTTCAATATATGTTTTGTACCTTTAAAACCGAATATTTTACTTATATATGTAATGTAATTTTCCGACGAAGGATGGTCAATCATAACTTAAGTGTGGCTTCGCCCCTGACTTCAATATAGTGTACGTATCCCGTGTACTCTCTAACCGTCTAAACTTTTAGATTAGATGATCAGTTGATCCCATACCATTCAAAAATATTCTCAAAAATAAAAAAGAAGAGAGAGAGGTAGAGGTAAGAAGATACCTATGGTCATTGCAGAAGGAAGTGCATATTACAAAAGAAGAACAAAGTGGTACAAGGGATCTGATCCCACTAACACAAAATGGCTTGCAACCTTGACAACAACAATGCCAGATAATGGCAAGGCCACACACCTCACTACCTGAACTCCTATTACAACCCACATTCCTGCTGCTGATTTTTTATGACCTGCCATTGAAATTAATACAATTGTATCAGAAAATCCAAAAAAATAAATATATTCATTACATCTATTTTAAAGATATAATTACCTCTAAGAAGATTTGCTCCAACTATCAATGTTATGGCTGGTATTGTAGCTTCTCTACAGTATCACAACACGGTGCATTTTGAGTCAACGTCTTAATGGTTATAAGTGCGATCTTATTATATGCATATTTTAATAAAATCCATCTCTGACTATGAAACAGTGACGGCTAAGTTTAATTAGTAAGTTCATTTGATTGCAGATTGAATATGCGTTTTCATACCCTAACAGAGATGCAGAGCTCTGAATCACGTGTAGTGGAGCTTCATTTCCAATCATCAGTTTTCTTGGCAATGAAACTACACCAACCAAGATTCCAACAATCTGTAATATTAATGTTAAGTGTCAGTTTAAAGAATTAATGATATAGCTATCGAGAATCATCAAGTCAGACCGGAAAAAACATAAATTAGTAACGTGATCATATATACAGTTGCAATAGTAGAAGGTGAAGGATTGCGTATAGGTGTTCGTAACACGCAGCTGAAGACAATAACAATCCTAGGCAGATATTTTTGTGTTTAAAATTTATTTACATGTCAGTAGATCGGATGTAAGACGTACCTGGTGAAAAAAAATCTCGTTTCAAATTCTTCGATAGTGCGAAAACTCTATGCGTATCCACACCGAGACTGACCCTTGCTATCAACTCTTTGAATAATGAAACCCGCGAACAAAATTGAACAGAAAACTTGTGCTGAAATTTTTCTCAAAAATCTCAACTCAAATTATAAGAACAAGAAACACTTTTCTTGTAATTGTATTTTCTCTCTTGGCTTTGTATTACACTCTTACTTTCACAAAGTGGTTTTTCTTCTAAAAAATTAACAACACGGCAAATTTTCTCCATCATCCTTTATATATGACCACCTATAAACCCTTTTCCTATTTGGTTGAAGTAACGATTTACTTAGGTAAAAGTTTATTCCAAAATAAACATATTTTGGAAATTTTCGATGGAAAATTGAATTCCCATTCGAAACTGCCAAGCCTTTCCATAAATACCAATTCTAATTGAGTACTATAAAGGTTTTCTAATGGAAAACTTATATTCCATTCCTAATGGGATTTACGTATATGCCGTGAATCCAAATTTCAGTTGGATTTCACTCAATAAGTTTTCAACAACATGTTGTTGTTTAATTAATATTTTATATAACATATCTAATATAAAATAATATATATTTTAACCCAGAGATATAATTTTTTATTCCAAATAGAAAACTTCAATTTGTTCACAATATTAATCATATTCCCTGTGCTAGCAAAAAATATAATAATGTTTCATTTGGACTAATAACTAAATTTATTTGACTAATTAAATTCTTTAATTTAATTATCAAACAATAAGTAATCCGCTGAGTTACGTTATTTGGAAAATTAAAATGACGAAGAATGAAACTTGAGAAGAATTAGTAGTAATGGTGGGAAATGGACATACTGCCATGGAGAGGGATGCATAGGCTTCTCCATTAGTGGAGCATATTGAAGAATCTCCAAAGGGACTAGACCATTCTTCTCCTAACATGCATACTGCAGGAATTATATATAATGAGAGGCAAGCTGTTCCCCTGCAGTAAATACCAAAAGCCTTTATCAATTATGATCAAAGACGGATTGATTCTATGAGTTCAACTGAATAAGATCACGCTCATTCTACTTTGAATTTGAACTTATCAGCAGAGGCGGATCCAGATTTTTAAGTCCATGAGTGCACTACAAGCTTTAACCAAATTTGTTACTTGTAAAGAGTGTCAATTTTTTTTTTTTTTGGTCAACAATGTCAATAGATATGGAAACATTTAGTGTTTTATGACTTATTGTCAATTTTAAATATTATTTAAAGAGATAACTTATACACTTTTTAAACCATTCAGTTCTTACCATCAAAATTCAAAATAAAGAGGAAAAATAAAATGCTAATAACAATTTAATACCGTAAAATTTAAAACTTGTGCAAATTTTAGTGCAAAAAGAAACACAAAAAAATCTTAACATATGACTAATTCTATATATGTGAATTACTTACAAAATAAACTATCTGTTGCAATAAAACATTATAGACAAAAGTCCAAAAAATTTTATTGAAACAAAAATATTCAAGCAAGTTATTGTGTAATTTAATATTTAGTAAAAAGCAAAAAGGGTAAAGAGAAAATTAATTGAGAGACTGCAATTAAGATCGGGTTAGCATAAATTCGGAGTAGGAAGACTAATAGATTTTAGGGGGAAAAACAAATGAAAGAAAGAAAAAAACAAATAGAGACAACAAAATCCCAAGAGGGATTCGATCCTATACCTGTTTATCGGGCCGGGCTGACCCGTTTTCAGCCCGCTTCGGCCTGGGTCAGCCCGCTACTGTTCACGTTGGGACGGGTTGGGGCGGGTTTGGATGGGGGCCGGGTTGTGTACGTTCACGTTTAGACTAACGGTGCCTCGAACCCGTTAAGCCCGACTTTCCTTAACGGGCTGAACACGGGCTGCAACCCGTTAGCAGCCCGGTTTCCGTTTGAATTTTTTTAAAAAATTAAATTGGACCGTTCCCAACGGTCAAATTCAGAAATGACCGTTGGGGAACAACCAGAAATTGCAAAAATGGCCAATTTCGGCCCTCCATTAATAATATAGCCCTCCCACCCCAAAATCTATAAATAGCCCCCCTTCTTCTTCATTTTTTCTCACAAATTCACTCTCTTACTACTCTAATTCTCTCTCAAGTATCAAACTCTCAATTCTCTCTTGATATTATAGTTCTTAAATTCTCAAATCTCAAATTCTCAATTATTTATTATTTCAAGTTTCATCAATTATTTAGTTTAGCCATTACAAAATTATTATTATCAAATATCAATTATTCAAGTGAAGTGTGGTATCAATTATCAAGTATTCAAGTATTATCAACTATCAAGTTTCGGTCTATCAATTGAAGTTTGAATTTTGATATCAAAAATTCAAAATTAGTGCGGCATAAGGAATCCCGGTACACTCGTTCCATCTCTTTCTCTTATTTGATGTACACTTATTTTATTAATTAGTGTCTTAATTTAGTTTCTTAATTTAATTTCTTACTTGAATTTCTTAATTTAATTTCTTA